CACCCTAAAATCCAAGACCATGCTTCATGTCGCAGCATCCATGATGTTCATACTGCGGTGTCCTGGTGCCCAAGCTGTGGCATCCAACCATGCCTCGGTGCACCAAACAATCATGTCGCAGTCTGTCCAAAACCGCGGCATCCATAATATCCATGATGTGGCCTTCTACTCAAAATGTAATCAAGTCATGCGGGTATAAATTGAAAAGTATTTTATACACCACAAGCTTGACTTTTGCTATGATTTCCTCTTCCTTGACGTCCTCTTCATCAAATCAATTGGCACTCCTAGCGTTCCAAAGGTAGTAAACCACGGCGCAAAAAGCAATCCGGACAGCCTTCCCATTGATCTTTGAACCTTTGTGGTCCTTTAGGATCCATTTGATCGAGCTGCTAAGCGTGTTCATCTCTCGTGTCATGCCCAACCATTCCTTTATTTTTTCCCAGACCCTACAAGTGTAATGACAACGGAAAAATAGGTGTGACATTATTTCCAATCCACCCTTGCAAAGGTCACAACAATTAACAATATGTAAGTAACCTAGGTTATCCTGTGTAGGTAACCGGTTCCTCAAAGCAAGCCAAACGTTGAATGAGAACTTTGGGGGGATATAAGACTTCCGAATGTAGCTCATCCATACTCTTGGCGTCCCTTTAGTTCTCAACAACTCATAAATCTTTCCGGAAAGGAGTTTACCATTAACAGATCTAGTATTTAGGCCCATATTGGTATCATTCAAATTATTAAAGCAACCCAAAATTTGGTCCCGGATGTGACTCAATTTCTTCATGAGCATCGAGTCACGGTTGTGTGGGATAAAATCCCACACGCTCCTACCATTAAGGTAAACCCCATTGACCCACCTCACCCAAAGGGTGTCCTTTTTCCTGTGAACATCCCAAAGTGTACGAGAGAGGAGAGCATGGTTCCAAACTTCACTATGAATTCCAAGACCCCCCTCCTCTTTTGGTAGACATATGTCATCCCAAGCCACTTTAGAATATTTCCTATCCCATAGAAAAATTCGACAAATAGAAACAATCCTATCCAGGGGCGGACCTATGTTATAGGTAGGGTAAGCATAGACTTCACCTCAAAATATGTTGCTAGCTTAGATGGCATTAGCAATAAAATTAAGTTTTTCTTTGGGCTACAGGTTGGGTGTTCGAATCTTACTAAGGCTACATGTGATTTATTTTTTGAAGGGCTACACAGATGGGGTGATGCAGCCATACGTCCATACGGAATTAAACTTTAAAAAATTCTTTATCCACTTACTAAATATAAATGATTGATTCGGCCACCGCTTCTTCCATTAATTCAGCGAATTCCAACGACGACTTCATGCACTACTTTGTACTTTGGTCTTCACGTTTTTTCATATTCTCTAAATATAAATGATTAAATCCTTATTACTCCGTAGTAATAAGGATGTTTTTACTTGGACTGTAATTTGCTGGTCTGGTCTGGTCTGGTCTGATCTGGTCTGGTCTGGTCTGAACTGGTCTGGTCTGGTCTGGTAAGGTCTGGTTTCTTTGTATTTTTATAACTATACAAGTCTGGTCTGGTCTGGTCTGGTCTGGTCTGAACTGGTCTGGTCTGGTCTGGACTGGTCTGGTCTGGTCTGGGACAAATTACAGTCCAAGTAAAAACATCCTTACTCCATATTAATATTTTAACATACGGAGTATATTGTATTCTCTAATGTTTCAATTTAGAGAATACATATCAACAATAAAACATAGTAATATAATGCCATACACTTATATATGTGAAATGTTTTCATTTGGTACGGTTGAGCTAAAATGATAATTTAAATTTATAATTAGGAAGGAAAACAACAAAAAAAATGAGTCTGCAGTTGTTTTCCCAGTTTTCAGCTAGTATGTTTTATAATAATACTATGTACAAGATTATTGATATCATTGATGGAGTATATGGCCCAGGAACCCCCGGTCCACAGACTCCTACTATTCCGGAACAGGCCCAACAAGTCCAAGAGGCACAAGAGGCCCAGAACACAGCGGCCCAAACCCAAAGGAGCCCAAGATGCGCCAAGGGTAGCCTTCGGCAACATGGCCGAGGGCTCCAGAACTCACAGGGCAGCCAGATTTGAGTATACAAGGTTACTAGGAGAAAATGGCATAATTCGGGAGCCTTCGGCACTTTTGTGCCCTCGGCATCAGGGAAGCCCTCGGCACTCTCGTGCCTTCGGCTACACAGGGCCCTCGGCTACGAGGAGAGCCTTCGTCTAACAGCTCAATCATCAAAGATTCTCTTTGGAGACAAGCAACCACCGCATTTAATGCGGCGTCACATCCACCCACCACATTCAATGTGGGGCACATGCGAATGCCAGTGCCACCCGATTGAGGTGACCCCTCGGCTGTTGGATTACTGACAAGTGTACTCTCATCGCATTTATTGTTGCTATAAATAGCACCCACTTTTCCCATTGTAAAGGGCGAACACAACGAGTTCATTTATTGCTCTGACTTCTCTCTAGTTATTTCTCTTAATAACCCTCAGATAAGCTACCCCCGGGTACACTATTCATCAATCATAAAACTTGTTTTTTATTTTATTTTACAGTCTACATTACAATTTGTATTGTAATTTTCATATTTATAATGATGTGTTTATTTTCAATTTCTTTTTATAGATACGGTGTCCATGTATAATTTTGTGATTGTTACAAGGCCAAGTGTTGATGTAATTAATAACAAAACTAGCGGCTCTCATGTTTCCAAGCAATCTCGAGTTGAGGTCAATGTACATAATTTGTAAATAATAGCGCATATTATTTACATTCTAATATGTGCATACACTGACCCCTGATGCCTAGATCCGCCACTGATCCTATCCAAGATAGTTTGAGGGACCGGGAAGACTTGGAGCCAAAAAGATTGGACCCCTTGGATTACCAATCTAATTAGCTCCAGTTTACCGGCATAGGACAGGGTCTTTGTGTTCCACATCTTCAAAAAATCGGATATAATATCAATCAAGGGTGAGTATTGCGCCACCGAGACTTTCAAAGGGGCAAGTGGGATTCCTAGCTATTTAACCGGGAAGGTCCCACGCCCAAAATCCACAACGTTGTCTGCTTGTTTATGAACCACGTGTATTGGGGTTTCCACTATGAAAGTTATACTAGGAAAGTTATAATCCGTACTCTACGTATATTAGTGATCTTGTGTATATAGTTTGATTTTTCCATCGAAGATTTTAGATGTATGAATTTGATCACCCATTAACCCATATTCATATATTTGGAGTATAATTTGAGGGAGTATTTTAATTAATTTACACACCTCATTTTAAAAATCATTAATAAGGAATGGAGAGTAAAGTCAAATGATTTTATAGTACAATGAGTACATATATTAATGAATTTGAAAATATGATGCAAAGTCAAATATCACTAAAAAGGGTGTAAAGGCAAACCCTCACATTCCCTAAAGGGGGTTTGACTTTGCACCCCATGTTTTGAACGATATTGAACTTTGCCCCTCATTTCAAAATCATTAATATTTGTACCTCATTAGCACAAAGATTGTGAAAGGGTGAAGTGCAAAATCAAATAATTTATTAATGATTCTGAAAATATGGTGCAAAGTCAATAAATAAAAAAGGGATGCAAAGTCAAATTATAGCTAAAATAGCAAATTTGCAAGAATATGAGCATAAAGATTAAATGACCAAAATAGGAGTAATTCTTCCTACCATAGCCTTTCTGTTGTCATGTTTAATAGATTTTTTAAATAATAAAAATGACATGTAAAAAAATTAAAATAAAAAGCGTAAAAAAAATTATACCTGGATCAACTACTATTAGATACTCCGTACTATCTGTTGTACTCAGTTGGTTTTTTGTTTCCTTATTCATCTACAAATACTGTAATAACCATACTGGATGAATGATAATATGATTTTCTATCCTATCAATCTTTTGATACGATCATAATAGCTTAAATGGTATCAGGGAGAAAACCAAAACTCTCACCTTCGTATCAATTTTTGCTTCGCTAGAAGCCTAGAACGTACTCCTCCATCTTTTTTCTTAACAATGGCACTCGCAACTAGTGAAACAAACGAATCCTCTCTTCTTGTATCCTAGCAAAAATCATGTGTTAATCCTCATCACACCACTACTTTCAGAAAACAATTTTCCCCAATGGAGACTTGGCATGCTTGTTGCACTTGAGACGAAGAACAAAATCAATTTGTTCTCGGTACTCTCATGTCCACCAACTTCAGATCCTCTTCACACAGCATGGACTGGCTTCACGCCAGTCCAAACCAGGCTTTTTATTTTTGGGGTGAGGCCCAGAACCGGCCCGAAATTCCACCAGGTACGGGGGGCCAGTCTCGGGCCGGTTCATATTTTTTTTGGCTTTTTTAATTAACCTCCCCACCCCCCAAAGGCCCAACCCCCCCCCCCCCCCAAAACACCCAGCCCAACCCGAGAAAAACAAAAAAAAATTGAAAAAATAAAAAAAGGCACGCACCGGGCCCGGCACGGCTGGGCCGGTTCCAAAGGAAGGGCAGCCTAGAACCGCCACGCCCTAACCCCCCAGGCCAGGCCCACACAGTGGCGGGCCGGGCCAACCGGAACCAGTCCATCCCTCAATCTATAATGTGGAATGAATATGCTTCAGAGATCTGGCATGACTTATGCGATCAACTCTCTCATGGTGACATGTTTCGAATTTGCTGATTTGTGAGAAGAATTACAAAAACATCAACAAGGTGATCTTAATGTTTGGCAAGGTGATCTTAACGTTTGGCAGTACTTTACTCATTTGCGAACTCTCGGGAAGGATTTATCCATGTATAGAACAGTTCTTGTTTTCTCTTGGACAACTACTTGTTCTTGTGGAATCGTGACCAAAATTCAAAAGAAAAGAGATGATAATTGTGTTATCAAGTTTCTAAGATGCCTTAATGAAGAATTTTGCCAGATTCGCTCTCGGGTTATGTTTATGGTCCAATGCTAAGCCTAACTCATACCTTTTCCTTGATATCAATCTACTACAATATCACAAGAACCTGTTGCTCTTGCCACTTTCATTGACAATCCTGGTAGAACGGGTTTTACTCCGAGAGGTGGACTGACACTAATAATCGTGGCAATCGTTCTGGTAAAATGAGAAGTAATGGCAGGAATAACAAATTCTGCAGCAAGTGAAAAAAGAAGAATCATACTTGCTTTCGTATCTAAGGTTTCCCCCTGGTTACAAAACAAACAACAAGATTGCCATCACAAATTTCAAGTCTTCTGCAAATGCTGCTGGTGCATTACCTCTTGCTCCAATTTCTCTTGCTCAGGAAGAGGTCAACAACCAGAATGCTTTCAATTTTTCAAAGGATCAATACAATGCACTAATGGCTTTGCTCCAACAATATCAAGAACCCTCTTCATCTGTCAATAATGCTTAAAATCATCAGACGACTAATCCTGGTATAAAATTCTCTTGGCTTCTGAGTGTAGAAATGATTTTCTGTTTAAACGGAGGTGAGAGTTTAAACCCGTACCAAAACGAAAGTACTGTCCGTTGGTTTTGGTACTCTCACACGACAACTCTCACTTTCGTTTAATAATCCGTACTTCTCGCACCAAAACCCCCAGACGACTGGAGTGTAGAAATGATTTTCTGTTTTGTTATAAAAGATATGTTTTCATAAAAATTTTGCTTTGTAAACAAGATTGTTAAAATGTGAAGGAACCAACTGTCCTTTAGGTGTGCTCAATCCGTCACGACCAAGGCACCAAGTAGTGGTCCACGTGCCTAGAAGAAATCTGAAAAATCATATTCTCTTTTTTTAAAGAAAGATAAAATTAGAACGAAAAATGGTTCCCCATTTTAAGGGAAAAATTAAATGAAAATGGTTTATTTTCATTTAATTGAAGGTAGAAGTTCATTTTGTAAAACTAAATTACCTTTTTGAAAAAATTTGTTTTGGAAAGGCAACTAATGGAGTTGATTGAGTTGAAAAAGTAAATTACCATTGTGTATAAACTGGAAATGCATTGCATGCCAACCCGAAAAAGTATCAGTTTCCATGAAGTAGTGGAGTTGATTAAGTTGAAGAACATTCAGTTAGAAAATAACTTACCTGAGTAAACCTTGGTTTTATTACCTCAACTTCTTTTCACTTGTCCTACTCCAGAAGTAATGAAGAGCTGTAATCCAAAGGTCCATGTATCAGTTTACTTTCAGTTAGGTTTAAAGAATTCACATGATATGCAGGTGTAGCATTTGCACTCACACTTTTGAACAGCATTGTCAAGTGCTGAGGTTTCATCTCGTGACATCAAATTCTTCAAAGTATAAACTGAAAGAAGAAATTACAGATCAGATTTTAAGATATTGTGCGCACATGACCCCTTCTGCCCAATAAAGTAGCACAGTATCAACAAACTGCACACACTTTCAATTCCACATAAAGGTCAACATTTTGGATATAGATATCTTTGAGCATAAAAATGTTCCCAAAAAGGAATCGGGAGCTTGTTCCATGGCATCTAGTTGTCATTCATTATTCTGAGCTGTGCTCAATAAGCAGAGTTCACAGTTAAAATGAACTGAATAAGGAAAAAGTATCTGGTCACACACATTGTATTGAGTGTTTATTTCTTTTAGCTATTGGTTTTACTTTTTCCCTTTCGGTGAAAAAATTAAGATGATAAAATTGTGATTCTATTATAACAAAAATATCTGTTTCTCCTATTAATCAATTTTCTTGCCTCATTCTGCACTGATGCTTTAGTACACAGCTACGTCTTTGCTCTTTAATGCTTCCAACAATGGGGTATTTTAAAAACCTACACTTTGAGGCAAAAGTTTTAGATTTCTCATTTCTAAAAACGAGTTCATCATCAATTCATAATCAAATTCATCATTACCCCACCTATGGTGAGGTAAGGGGGGGTCGGATGTACGCAGTCTTAGAAGTTGTTCTCCTCGCCTGATCTGATCTGATCTGAATTTTTCTGATCTGATCTGATTTGATCTGAATCTTTCTGATCTGGTCTGATCTGAATGTTTCTGATCTTATCTGAATCTTTCTGATCTGATCTGAATCTTTCTGATCTGATCTGATTTGAATATTTCTATAATTATAATCATAATTATAATTATAATTATAATTATTATAATTGCAATTACAAATATAATTTAAATAAAATTATAATTATAATCGTAACTATAATAATAATAATTAAATTTAAAATGAAAAAATTTATACCTATTACACTAATTATAAATATAGATATAACTATAATTGTAATTATATTTTTAATTATGATTACTTATATAATTATAATTGTAATTATAAATACAATATCTCTATAATTGTAACTATAGTTATCAATATTATTATAATTACTCCGTAAAATAATTACAATAGCGATAATAATAATATTAATAATTATAATAAAAATAATAATTATAATCATAAATTATAATTATAATATAATTATAATTAATAATAAGTATAATTATATTAACATTAATTATAATATTATAATATAATAATAGTAATATAAATATAATTAATATTATCATAACGATATTATTATATTAATATTATGATTACAATAATATAATAATAATAATATGATTATTATTATTATAATTAGTATTATATTATTATAATATTATATTATAATTATAATCATAATTATGATTGTAATTATAATTATGATTATTATAATTATAATTAATTACAATTATAATTATAATTAATTATAGATATAATTATAGTAATTACAATTGATTATACTTATAATTATAAGAATTATAATTGTAATTATAATTACATATAATTATAATATAATATTATAATAATATTAATCATATTATTATTATTAATATTAATCATATTATTATTATTATATTGTAATAATAATAATAATAGTCTTCTTAATAATTGCATTTATATTACTATTATTATATTAAAATATTAAAAGTATTATTAATATCTTATTTTTTATCATATTATTATTAATATTATTAATAATTATTATATAATAATAATCATAATAGTAATAACAATATTAATAATAATAATAATAATAATTAATATAATAATAAAAGTGATAAATCATGTTTGAACTTTTCTGATCTGATCTGATTTGAATGTTTCTGATCTGGTCTGATCTGATCTGAATCTTTCTGATCTGATCTGAATCTTTCTGATCTGATCTGAATCTTTCTGATCTGATCTGATCTGAATTTTTCTGATCTGATCTGATCTGAATAAAATAAGAATAAGCAATAAGTAATAAGAATAAGACGAACAGAACAGCACCTTACTCCTGTACTAAAGCACAGAGAGTCTGTTTCTGAATGACCCATAATTTTCTAAAAAAAGAAAAGTTAAATCCTAAAAATCAAACCTACACTGTCAGATCAATTCTCCCCTGGTCCTCCCCATTAAAGCAGTGTCAAACGAATGAGAAATATTTGATTGAGATTATATCTTTTTATTCAAAAGGAATCTAAACCTCTAAAAGACCAATGTATGAGGCTCGGCATGTGGTGCCATATGGAAGCGAGCAGTCTTTAGTGTCATTCAACGACTGACTCCAGTAAGCTCATCTGCCTCTTTGTCCCAAAAGTTGAACGAAAGAGGGCTGAATTTTTCATCCAATGCATGGCTATTTCCACCTTTCATCCTCAAATACAAGGGATGTCTGAGAAAAGTAGGACGGGGTGAAATTTGCATTTATTCACCCTGTGGGTTGGAGATGGTGTAAGCAGGAGTTAGTCATGCTTCGACAGGACTTTTATAGCAATGTCTGCAAAGGAACGCCCAGGTTCTGTCAAGACTGAAATGCCTCCACACAACTCATCCCCCTATCTCAAAACAAAAAACAATAGAATAACATTTCACCCTGCACATAAGATTATAAAAGGCTGCATTCCATTTACACGTACTTGGGCATAAACTGGAAATACATTGCATGCCAACCCATAAAAAGTTTCAGTTCTTATGAAGTAGTGGAGTTGATTAAGGTAAATAACATTCAATTAGAAAATAACTTACCTGACTAAACCTTGGTTTTATGACCTCAACTTCTTTTCACTTGTCCTACTCCAGAAGTAAGTCAACAAAGAAAAATGACGAGCTGTAATCCAGAGGTCTATGAGCAGAAGATCCTCATCTGGAACTTGTACATTGGCTTATTGATTCCACTGCTTGAAATCTCATTGAAGCTTCACAGATGGCTAGCATCTAGGTAGATATGACCATATGGTGAGAAGCTTTTTAACCCCACATCTCAAAGTTATTAGATACTCAGTCAGTAGTTTTTTCACCAATAATCTCCACATGAACAATCCCCGCCTTTGAAATGGTGATATCTGTTATTATCTCTAACAACTATTTCCCTCCTCATAATCTTGGATATCAACTTAGTAGCTGTGTGACAGTCCACACATACCCCAAGATTCTTGGTCACCCGGATGCTTGTTCCAGCAGGAGTATTAATCATTGCAAATGCTATTGCAATCCGTTCACTATGAGCAAAAAACAAATCATGTTTCTGTTCTTCATCAACATCATGCAAAGCCTCACTCGTCTCAGGAACATATCCTTCTACCTTCAGTCGCTCTGAAATGTTTCTCAATTCTGTTTCTATCTGGTTATATTGAGGATGTGATTTGTCCCCTGAGACGAACGCGTGTACCTTGTTCTTAACTTCAACCCAGCTGCAAGCTGGTGTCTTCCTCATTCCCTTCTTTTTCATATTGGTTCTAAGTTTCGAAGCATCTTTCCAGCGTCCTGCAATTGAATACATATTTGACAAGAGGACATAGGGACCCATATTCTTGGGATCCACTTTGGTTATTTCATGGGAAACTTTTTCAGCAAGCTCGACATTTTTGTGAACACGGCAAGCTGACAACAGAGCGGACCAAACACTCCCTGTTGGCTTAATATGCATATTGGAGACAAACTCGTATGCATCCAGTAGCCTTCCAGCTCGGCCGAAAAGGTCTGCAATGGCAGCATAGTGCTCAATCCCAGGGGCAATCCCATACTTTTGGCTCATACTTTTGAAATGTTTCCAGCCCTCTTCTATCAAACCGCCATGGCTGCAAGCAGTCAAAATAGCTACATAGGCGACAGAGTTAGGCTTCACACCATCTATCACCATCTTCTCAAATAAGATGACAGCATCATGTGCATGTCCGTGAAGTGCATAGCCCATAATCATGGATGTCCAAGTAACTGAATCACGTAATACCATGTCATCAAAAATACGGCGAGCTGTCTGTATTTTCCCACATTTTGCATACATGTCAACCAGAGAGCTGGAAATGTACATGTTATCAGCGAACGCGGTTCTGGTTATGTGTGCATGGAGTTGCTTTCCCAAATGGAGTGTTGTCAAATGAGCACATGCAGGAATTATACTTGAGAAAGAGACTGGCAGAGGCTTTATATTAGCAGCTAGCATCTCCCTAAACAACTTCAGCCCTTCATCGAAATTACCATTTTTTATGAATCCTGAGATCATTGAATTCCATGACACGTCGTCCTTTTCCGCTAAGAGGGTGAAAACCATGTATGCGTCTTCCACCAGGGTGCAATTCGCATACATATCAATCAAACTACTCCCAATAAATGTGTCTTTGTCAAGCTCATGCCTGATTGAGTAACTGTGAATTTCTTTTCCCTTCAAGGCATCAACTTGTTCAGCAACAATGGGAAGGATGCTGGACAAAGTGAAACTATTGGGCTTCAAATCAGAATTTCTCATCTCCCTAACCATCTCTAGAGCTTCCACATACATCCTACCTTGTACAGTACCCACAATGACTGTGTTCCATGTAACAATATCCCTATTTGGCATCATCTCGAACAATTTCCTAACACTATCAACTTTTAAAGATTTGCATACTCTCTTCTCTCCATCCCTACTCATGGAATCCAAACCAGGCACTTTTACAGCCCCATCTATATTGCTCTTTGAATCGCGAGTTAATGCAAACACACCTTTATTAGCCAGAGAAGCTTTCTCAAATGCATCAAGTTCCCTTCTTTGGGGAGTTTCATCGAACAGGTTCAGGTCATCCGAACCCTGTAATTTGGCATACATGTTCATCAGTGCATTACCTGTGTAGAGATCGTAATCGAGCCCATACCTCAAAACAAACCCATGAACAGACTCACCGAACCTCAAATCACGCAAATGGGTGCACGCTTTAAGCACTGAAGGGAACACGTTCCGGTCCGGGTACTTCCCGGAAGCTCTCATCTCGACAAAAGAATGCAAAGATTCGTAGAAAAAGCCATTTGAAGTGTAGCATTTGATGAGGGATTTCCAGGCTTTGGGGGGCGGTGAAGGGAGGGAGCGAAAGAGCGAGAGGCATTCTTCTAAGAGGTTGAAATTGGTGTAGACAGAAAGAAGGGTGGCGAGACACAGAGAAGAAGAGCGTCTGGTTTTGACGATTAGGGCATGTAGTTGCGTGGCTTGGGACTCAGTTTTGATGGCAGATGGGTTCGCCAAGAAGGTTTTGAGGAGGTTTTGAGTCGAGCTGTTCATTACTCTGTTGCAGAAGAATATGCCCGCCTCCGTCGAGACTAGAGTCTAGAGACCGTTGGCCATGCCAGAACAGCTTTCAGCTCACAGAAATACTACTCCTTCAGTCCTTCCGTAAAGCAAACAAGCTCTGCAATTGAACAAAAATCCCCAAAAAATTGGTATGCTTCCCACTAACTAGGACCGGGCATATCCTTTTTCTATTAGGTTTAATATCTGTTTTGGTTTAATTCGATTAGTATTCTCACCCATGATGTACTGTCAAAACAATTAATCTTGTATTAATTAAACGAAAATAAAAATAAAATTGAAAATGATACATCAAATATTTTACAATGGACACTTCAGGGGCAACAAAAAGAAATTCATGTTATTATACATAGAATAACATGAAAAGATGTAATTATTTTGAAGATTGCTCATTCAAGCATTCACCGTTATCGTCTAAAATTAAAATTTTCAGTCATTTTGAGTTTGTAACTCGCGAAACTACCACATATAATTTATCAAGACTGAAGACTCGTTTCTTCAATAATAAATAGACATGTGAAAGGCATTGTCTTGATTATTAGTGATGGTCATAGCGTATGCAATCATGATTGGAAGTTATCTTCGCTAAAGCGAAAATAACGGAGTTAAAAAATTGTGTGAAAACTTCATGATAAAAAGTCTGTTTCAAAAAAATTGTCTTAGATATTCCTAAGCAAAAAACACTAAAAAATCCATATGCTATGTAAATACTAGAAAAACTTTTGAATAACAATTTGTTGTACGAATCTCACAATTCGTAGTTCATACAAAAATTCTTAAAAGACTTAGGCTGACACGCATAAGTCCTTGACTTCTAGCTTTTATACTGTTCAAAAAGTCTCTAAAAGCTTCTAGTTGTATGTTTGGCATGACAATTTTTAAGAGCTTTTCAAAAATTAAAAGATCTTTTTTGAGATGCTACGGGGAGTAGCATCTGGGAAAAGCCCGTGACTTTTAGTACTAATTAGTCCTAACAGCTTGTATACCAAACCGAACTAAATCAAACAGTCAGCTTTTTACCAAACAGCTACCACCTTTTCTTTTTAAGATCTTTTCAGACATTAAAAGCTAACAGTTATTAAAAAGCTTATAAAAGTATCTTTTCAGCTAGTTGTGCCAAACATACTCTTAGAAAAACACCATCTGGCTTACTTTATAGATCTATGACAAAAAAACTTATGGAGTATTTTATAAACCTACCTTAATTATTTTATTAGTTATTTGATAGATCTTGAAACCATATTGTGCATTTTTAGGCATCTGAATTTTTAAAATCTAAAAACCTTAAAAGCTACTCCGTATCTAAGAATAAAACCTTAGAAAACTAATAAGAATAAAAATATACTCCGTAGAAAACTAAAAAGAATCTAATCGATCTGATATATAAAACTTAAAAAACCATTTCAATAAGAATTCATTGTTTTAATCTAAAATTCTACTCCATAGATGACAACAACAATTGAATGAGTACTTTATCAATTTAGAGTGGTCAATTTGAATTACGTACTACGTTTAGAGCCCGTTTGATAGCACGAAAATCGGCTATTTTGGCTGTTTCTGCTGAAATTTATGAAGTCATGGCTGAAGTGGCTGTTTTGGCTGTTTCTGCTGATTTAAGTAAAAATTATTTTTAAAATATATTTTATTAATAAAATAAAGAAAAACCTATATGTAAAAATAGCTAAAATGGTCATCTAAAATAACTTCAGCCAATGCAGCCAGAAAAGTAACTTCAACCTTACTTTTTCTGTTTATTACACAGTCTAGCGCACGAAAGTGAAAGTTACGTGTTTGGTGAAAAAGTTTGCTGATAAGCCTGATAAGTCGAAAAATGAGGTTACCAAATAGCCTCTTAAAGCATTTTTTATTCTTAGGTTGCAACAACTTAAATTAGTATATGATTCGGCTGTGAACGTTGCTTTGAGAAACGTAAAGCTACAAAACATTAAATGTGTCGAGGATATTGCATTGAGAAATGAAGAGCTCCCATTGATCACACCATATTAAAGCTCCGTCTAGAGACCCCTTTTTCGGCTTATCAGGCTTATCAGTCAGCTTTTTCACCAAACACGTAATTTTTACTTTTGCGTGCTGAATTGTCTAATAAGCAGAAAAAGTAAGGGTGGGGTTACTTTTCTGGCTGTATTGGCTGAAGTTACTGTAGATGACCATTTTAGCTATTTTTACATGTAATTTTTTCTTTATTTTATTAATAAAATATATTTTTAAAATATTTTTTTCTAAAATCAGCAGAATCAGCCAAAACAGCCACTTCAGCCAGAATTTCATAAATTTCAGCAGAAACAGCCAAAACAGCCGATTTTCGTGCTACCAAACGGGCTCTAAATGGGTATGTGAGAAATATTCTATCCAAATATTCCGTGGGAAGCTATACAAATGGAGTAGATTGCACTTAAAGAATTGGACCATCCAGTTTTGGCGGGAACTTGTGTCCCAAGAAACCTTTTATAGATTATATATAGATAGATTTGGAACGGATCGGAAGAATTATTACCAAACAAAAATCATATTAGTACGGAGTATTATTTTTCGGTTTGGTTCGGTTCGATTTAGTTTGGTTTGGTTTGGTTTGATTTTGTTAATTTTTAATAATATACGTAGTATGAAGGTTTTTTTGAATTTCTTTAGTTCGGTTCAGTTTGTTCGGTTTTTATCGGTTTCGGTTTCGTTTGTTTAATACGGTTTGAAAGAAATAGTACCAAAATCAAACAAAATTGCATATGATCCGGTTTCAATTCAATTCGGTTTAATTCGGGATGGTACGGTTCGGTTAAACCAAACCGTTATGCTCACTCCTACCACTAACATTCAATCGTCAAAGGGTAACAAAATAATTAAGAAAGAAAAATGAGTTTACGTGGTTACTATTGATTATTGAATTGATAAAGTAAAAATAAAGTAAAAATGATTTAGAGTCACACAAATTTTATTAAAATTGATATGAGACAATTTAATGGGATTTCTCTAAAAGAAAAATGGAACAATCTTAACTGATGGGAGGAAGTATAAATTAAGAAGTTTTGAAAGAAAAGTATGGAGTAAGTAACCGTGGGCAAAAAAAACGAAAATGTATAGTGTACGAGTGGATGGTAATGATATAGAACCAATTTTCAAATGAATAGAACAGATTTACAAAATAATATACGTTCTTAAATAAGTTTAACGTTTTGAATTTTATATTGTTCATATGTTCTACTTTACTATGATTTTTGTATAAATGTATTAAAAATTTCTTTTTAAAAAATATTGTTAAATTTGTCTTGTATATTTTAAAATTCTGAATTTTTAAAATTTTTACCAATGAAGAATTAGATATACTAATTGAAAGTTGTGCATTCGTAAACGTGAAAACTGGATAGTTGCACTTATTTAAGAACGTGGGTAGTATCAATTATTCTGAACTATAATGTTTGCTTTTATATACTCCGTATATTTTTATAATATTATTGCTATTATTATGAATATATACAAACCTTGTTAGCACTTAACCTATTTATATCTACTTTTTCATTATGTTTTTTTATTTACTAGTTACAACTATTAGTTTTAGTCTAACTAGATACTGAAAATAAGAAATTAATTAGAATTACTAAATCAATATATATATATATAGGGGAAGGTTCTAGTGAGAACCCATCTTAAAATGAGAACTCATTTATAAATGAGAACTCTTAATCTCCACCTTTGAACTCTTAAATGATAATAATAATTACAAAACGTACCTCATTTGAAGTTGGAATAATTACACAAAGGACCCCATGTGTATCCTTCCAATGATTGAATAAAATCAAATGCAGAGATTAAGAATTCTCATTATAAAAGGTTCTCATTTGAAATTGGTTCTCATTGTGTGTGTGTGTTGGTTCAAATAAGAACACGATTTTATGAGAGAAATGAGAACAAATATGTACCGTTAGATTTGCTTCAAGTGAAATTTGGGGTGCATTCGATGAAACTGTAATGTGCATTAGGTGAAATTGAAATGTGCATCATAAAGGGTACGATAGAGTGACATTATATGCAGTTGAATTGTGCATTACGTGAAATTGAAATGTGCACTAGGTGAAGCTGAAATGTGCTGAATAAAAAGTACGATGTGATGTTATTTTTGTACTTTTTTTAGCACATATCAGTTTTATCTAATGCACACTTGAGTTTAAATTTTTATTTTGCATATTTCAATATCATTTAATGCACATTTCAGTTTCACCAAATGCGCAATTTGGTTCCACATAATACAATCCAACGATCCAGATTCGTTCTCATTTTTCTCCTAAGATCTGTTCTTACCGGAACCGCTCCATATATATATATATATATATATATATATATATATATATATATACACACACAAATATTCATGCCAGGACGTCCGGACGGCGGCGTTTGGCCGCCTTCCCGGTGGAATTTTTTGATGAAATTTTTATGGCATGTTCTCCATCAAGTCTAGTTTATCCACAAAAAAAGTCAGCTAAAAACTCAACCGGGAAGGTCGTCAAATGATTTTTGCAAGTTAACTGGTCCGGAATATGTATTTTCCGGAACCAGTTAACTTGCAAAAATCATTTGACGACCTTCCCGATTGAGTTTTTGGCTGAATTTTTTTGTGGATAAACTAGACTTGATGTAGAACATGCCATAAAAATTTCATCAAAAAAAGCCACCGGGAAGGCGGCCAAACGCCTTGGTCCGGACGGCGGTTCCGGTCAGGAGCTCCTGACCGGATCATTACTCTATATATATATATATATATATATATATATATATATATATGAGAGATCAAATGCAAACTCATCTTAATATGCTAACCTACAAACCTAATACTAACCATCTATTTTAATGAATGAGCCGTGTACTTCATCTAGATTAGATCAGACACTTAGGGCTTATTAGTCTTAGTTTATTTTATTTTTGGAAAAAATCTCACGTTACCTTTTCCTACCCGAATGATAATCGATTCCTTCCCTCTCTCCTACCAAGTTCATCGTCCATCAATATGCAATTACTCTAGATATCAAAGCTTCTCTTCATCCACATCTCCATATTTCCATCTCCTTCTCCATCTCAAATTTAATAGAATTTGATTAGTGTTCTTCTATTCAAACGCCATAGATTCCAGCACACATAGGGAGAACATTA